GCCGTTGATGACAAACTATTTATTTCTGACACCTCGTATGAGAGTTAGTCAATAGCTCCCATGATTCTGTCTTTCTTCTGAGGCTCATATCAGTGCCACCACTTAGCTTGTCAAATTAAAGCTTTTTGGTTCACATCCTGATCTGATTCCTACTTTTTCCTCAGCATTGTCGTGGACCGCTCCATGGGTCAAACTGGAGGTGTAACACAACGCAGCTGGGCTGCCACCACAACCTCCAGCCTAGTTGATGTTTTACTCTGGTAGGTTACTGAGTTTCTTCATGTGAATACCATAATATGCAGCCATTGATGACAAACTCTTTATTTCTGACACCTCGTATGAGAGCTAGTCAATAGCCCTGTGATTCTGTCTTTCTTCTGAGGCTCTTTGTATCACGTGAATTTTTGTTGAAGGCATTTCTGGTTGAACCATCCTGATCCCATTGTTGCTTTTCTTCAGCATTCCCGTGGACCGCTCCGTGGATTAAACACTACGACCTCCAGCCTCTACTTTGCAGTGTTACTCTGGTAAGTCGACGCAAGTGTCTGTCTGTGCCCATCATATGTAGCCATTGATGACAAACTCTTTATTTCTGACACCTCGTATGAGAGTTAGTCAATAGCTCCCATGATTCTGTCTTTCTTCTGAGGCTCCTATCACTACCACCACTTGGCTTGTCAAATTAAAGCTTTTTGGTTCACATCCTGATCTGATTTCTACTTTTTCCTCAGCATTGTCGTGGACCGCTCCATGGGTCAAACTGGAGGTGTAACACAGCTGGGCTGCCACCACAACCTCCAGTCTAGTTGATGTTTTACTCTGGTAGGTTAATGAGTTTCTTCATGTGAATACCGTAATATGCAGCCATTGATGACAAACTCTTTATTTCTGACACCTCGTATGAGAGCTAGTCAATAGCCCTGTGATTCTGTCTTTCTTCTGAGGCTCGTATAATCACGGAGTATCTTCTGTTGAAAGCGTTTTAGTAGAACTAATCCCATTTTCGCCTTTCCCTCAGCATTCCTGTGGACGGCTGCATGAGTTTTAAACCGGGAGCCCGGCTTCTGCTGACTGTAGTTCAGCTGTGATGGCTGATTCCGGTAAGCTAATGAAAGTGATCATGTGAATACCATAATGTGTTGCCATTGATGACACACTTTTATTTCTGACACCTCGTATGAGAGCTGCAAATGCAGCCCCTGATTCTACAATTTACCTGAGGCTCAATCCCAACTGGGTTTATTGTTTTCTTAATCTGCCATTTTCATATATTTTGAGCAACTGTCATCCTTTAGGTTAACCGGCTGTGTGCAGGAGACGGACGGTTCTGTCAGTGGACTCTGCAAGGCTGCAGGTAAATGCTGGGCGTGTGTGTGTACACCTGTATTGAAGCCACTGATACATTTCTGACACCTTGTCTGAGCTGAGCGTTCAGCCAGTGACTCTAACCATGATCTGAGGTGGTCTAGCTGTGAATAGATGCCATTGTTTTTTTTTTATGTGGACCTAATGATCTGATGCTTGTTTAGGCACCTCAACAATGGACACCTGATCAGAAACTACGACGCGACGCCTGGTGATGGCTGCATGGAAGCTCTCCAATTTTGTGACGCACGGGTTTTAACGTAGAGTATCATAAAGGGGAACTGGCAGGTTGTTATTACTAATTAACGAGTGTGAGTGTGTGTGTGGGGGAGGGAAGTGCACTGTGTTGCAAGTCGATGTCAACATTATGTTCGTGTCAGACCACAGCTGTGTCGCACAATCGGGTTTGAATTCCCATCCTGAACTTGTATCAGCCTGAATAAATAAATAAAAAACACTTTTTCCGGGGTGAAGTTACTTTGTACTCCGAAAGGCTTTTGGTGTGAAACAGTTTTGTGTTTTTGATACTGTACTTTTCATTTTACAATTGTGTTTTATTACAATAAACAAATATTGTCCTTAACACTGGCCTACTGAATTATAAGACTTGCTTATTTGCTTGTTACAACTATCATAAACTCACGATAGGGTTCCAACAAAAGCTAAACCTGTGCAATCGCAAGGAAATGTGAAGCTGTGTTTTGTTTTATTGAGGGGAGACGTGACCTCATTTGAATGCCTCCCATCCCCACCCGCCATCACTAGAATCACAGCATTTCCATACAGGTGCGCCAGGGATTAAGCACTGGTTTGACTAACAAACCAAACCCTCCATCACCCCTCCTCTTCCTCCCCCTCCCTCCCCTCCAGTCCCGCCCTGCGCCTCCCCCCTCCAGTCGCTATACGAGAGAGGAGCGCAAGGGAGTGTCTACCAACCAAACCACCGCCACCATACAGCACCAGGACCTCCTGCGCCGCACCGCACAGCACAGAGTTGGGGGGTGGACACATCATAAATCCCACGGACGCCGCATTTTGAAACGCCAGCTCGGTTTTTTTTAAGTTGTGTTTCGTGGGTTATATTGTCGGCGTCTCCTCCTCCATCACTCGGTCGACGGGAAAATCGAGCAGCGCAGACCCAGCGGACGCGTCGCCTGCAGGCCTAACGGTAAGGAGAGCCGCCGCTGCTGCTGCTTCAGCTGGACGAGTAAGAAGGGGGGGGGGGGGGGTTGAATTGTTTAATTTTAATTGTAAAAAAATAAATCCCAAATAAAAAATTCAATCTGTCGACGTTGTGGGGGGGGAACGTCAGTGTAAAACGCGGGGCCGCCAGTAAAAACCGCCGCGACGGGGCCCGTCCGTCCGTCCGTCCGTGTCGCGATGTGTCGGCGTAGACTGGTGGTGCTATGGTGGTGGTGGTGGGGGGGGGGGGGGGGGGGGGGACATGGTACACACCGCCGCCATTTGTTTAAAAAAGGACCGAGATGTCGGAACCCGGCCTCCGTTACCGGCTTGGTGGGTTTGGTTGGGTTTCAAAGTCGGCCTTGTGAGGCGGCTTCACCGCCACAACATCTGGAGGCGCGAGACGGACGCGCCGCTGTCATGACGACGACGACGATACGCGGATGGATGAGACAGATGTTCCCCAGCGGCGACCCACATACAGCCATTAAGCAAATGAACGGGAGCGAGAGACACACTTTTTTTTAATCGGCCTGTAATAATAAACTATGTGTGTGTGTGTGTGCCGGTCCAGGCTGAGCCGGGTCCGTAGACCGGGACGTCCGTAGACCGGGACGTCCGTAGACCGGGACGTCCGTAGACCGGGACGTCCGTAGACCGGGACGTCCGTAGACCGGGACGCGGGTCGTCGTTGGACGGGACATCAATCTTCGATCCCCGATAAAAACAAAAAGCGTATAACCGCGCGATCTGCGAGTTGTGTCATGATGAAACACGTTTTGCGAGGATTTCCCATATGTTTAATACATATAAATACATGTATGACGTTATTATAAATGTGCAATCATTGTGAAGTTACAACGCGACTGGGCGATTAAAGCAGATGAGGCAGTACGGTACAACTGGAGGACGACATGACACACGTTGTCTTAAATAATTCAAACTAAATGAGATTATTGGACTGAGAAACTGAAATTGAATGATGCAGAATTTGCCTGTTGTTGTGAATGTCACTTCTGAAATGTGACCATGGATGTTTTAATGACAGGGGCATCATGGATGAGTTAGACGTGCCACAGATGAAGAGGGAGGTGGAGAGTCTTCAGTATCAGCTGGCCATCAACAGAGAAAAGTCCTCAATCACTGTCACAGAGTGAGTACTTTCTTCTTCTCCACACACACACACACACACGCACACACACACCCTTCTGTGCTGACGGGCTATGTGTTATGTGTGTGTGCATGTGTGTTTCAGGCTGGTGAAGTGGATTGAGGGCTGTGTGTGTGACGACCCGTTTCTGAACCCGGAGCTGATGCGGGCCAACCCCTGGGTAGAGAAGGGAAAGTGTGTGATCCTCTAAGGGCCGTGCAGACGCACGTGAATATAACCACGGATGCACATAATGACCTAAAGACCGCCCCCACACACACACATTCACGATGCACTTCCTCATTCTCTTACACTGCTATGATGACTATTATTATTATTATAAATATTTATTTGGACTCCCACGAATGCTTTTTTAATTTATGAGGACTGGCAGACTACCTGGCTGTGTGTGCGAGTGTAGAGTGATGCGTAGCTTTCTAGACGTTTGCGTAGTTATGGACCCACTGAGCGATGTTATCAATCAAGGTTTTTATTGGCTGTTTGTACTGTCAATCAAAATAAACACCGTTTTGAACTGAACGTGATTTTCTTCTTTTATTGGAATGACAGTATTTACGGCGAACACAAATTCTTATATACATTTACACAATCTTTGCGGTAAAAAAAAACGTCGTGGGGATGTGCGTACGCGGGACGGACGTTAGAGCAGTTCTCTGATGTACACGTTTCGCCGGACGGCGTTGGACACGCCCTCGTTGAAGCGGAACCACACGTCGCTGTTGCCGACGGCCGTCCCCATGGACTGCTCCACGCTCTTCTCACCTGCATGCAAAACACCGGGTTTAGACCCCGCCCCCCCACGTCCACTAGGGTGGGGTTCTGTTAACAGGTTCAAAGTAACATGAACATATTCGTTAAGCTGTTCTCTAAGAGTCTAACGAAACCCTCATCGGATCTCTCTCCCTCTGCGTGGTTTAGAGCTCTGAAATGGTTCATTATTATTAAAAGCATTGATGTATTGGTACTGAATCGCAGGTATTGGTCCTGGAAACGTTTCAAACAGCCCTAAATGACGTATAATTCGAGTGTGTGTTTTTTTAACCGCATTGAGTGAAATAAAAAGGAAAGAAATCCTATGAATTTGTCCCCCCCCCCCCCCCCCCCCCCCCCCCCAATTAAAAAAAAAAAGGATTCGATAGGATTCAGATTCGGTTAAATGCTATCAAACTCCAACCCTACCCTCCAGGCTGCATTTCCATTACATTGTCCCTTTAACATTTTTACAGTTGGAACAATACCACCAGACATGTTCTAAGGGCCGCCTGCATTATGGTGGGGGAGGGGGAAGGATGGTCTAGTGGTTGGGGGGGGTTTGACTCCCAGCCAAAAGGTTCTGGGTTCGAACCCCTGTCCACAGTCTCCCTGTAGGCGACCCTGAGTAACATGCCCCCCTAACCCCTACCTCCTCATTGCTGTATGTCATACATGTAATAACGACATGCATCTTAAAACAAACTTATTGTAAATCTGCTGACAAATGACTGCAAAAGTCTAAATGATGACATAGTGGTAAATAATACTGTAATGAAGCCCACTGTCAAACTGTAAATACAAATGGTAGTACGTCTATCTGGGAGTACAGATTCCACACTGAATGTCTGCAGATTAGATGTTCACATTAGAGGCCCGTCAAGGAGTTTACACTTCCTGGTACCACTGGTGAGATAAGGATATGAATACGAGGCTATTCATGTAATTTGTCATATAAAGAGAGAGAGATGGATAGAAATTCCCCAGTACCTGTCTCTGAGGTCACGGGTCTCTGGGGTTTAGGGGCTACAGCGCGACCAAAGAAATCCACCTCCGGCTGTAATGCACATTATACACACAGTCACACACACACACGTTATCACAAACCACACTAAACACTAGGTCAATGGCAGCAAGGTCAATTGGAAGTTATTCAAGGTTTGCGCACACGCACATACATGCGCGCGCGCGCGCACACACACACACACACACACACACACACACACACACACACACACACACACACACACACACACACACACACACACACACACACACACACACACACACACACACACACACACACACACACACACACACACACCATTAGCCTGGTTTCAGAGCGCCTGGCCATTAGGGAGCGGAGCGGACTAGATTCTCATTACCCTGCTCTCTGGGGCCTGTGTGAGCCTCCATTACTGGGAAGTGGAGCGGGCAGAAGGCAGCCCAGAACACGGCCTCCCTGTTCTCCATTAACACCACCAGCACACCTCCTCGCTGGATCTCATCTGAGCTCAAAGTGTGGGACGGGGAAGGCATCACGCCATCCGTGTGGCTGTGATCAGATAGCATGACTCCAGGACATGCCACAGTGAGCATTGCTGCACTGTCAATGAATGGGGAGATTGGTACGGCTGTAGCGAGTGCTCGCCAGAGAGAGATCAGTATTTGTTTGAGCCCGTCAACCAGAACCTTGATTCACTGTGGTGGCTCCTCTCTGATGCCCCCTACTGGTGCTGCCCTGCCGCTACAGGCAGTAAGGGAATTCAGTTCAGAGACTAACGCCTTCTGACCACCCTTGTGAAGCTCAATGTGCCGTTGTATGGATGTCTGTGTCTTACCCTGAGCTCCACCGTTGTCTGCTTGACAATGGTCTCCAGTCTCTGCTGGTGGTTCTTGCTGGACGGCTTAGGATCACTGGTACTCTTTGCTTTCTCTTTCGGCGCCTGTGTCTGCATCGCGCACACGCACACACGCACACACACACAGAAATATCAAATATGACTACAGAAAAGATTGCATTGTTAAAATACAATTAACATACTAGCTTTTTAGTAGGGCTGGGACGAGAGGCTTATCTCCCGATTCGATACTCACGATACTTAGGGTGCCGATTTGATATGTTGTGATTGTACAAGTACTTCGATATTACGATTTATTGCGATTTTTGTTTACTTTTTTAATGGGGAAAAAGTGTAATCATTCACTTCTAGAGACTGTATATCATGAGGCATATTTCTAAAACAATGCACAATTTCAGCAGCATCATTGCTATGCTGTAAGAGTTTAAAAAAATAAACAATAAACATACTGTTAACCACAAAACTTAAGTGAATCGTTTTTTTCCGTATCGTTACTTTGTGTTTTTGCGTGTAACAGTGTAGTAAATAAATGAAGGAGCATCAGTCTGACCGCTACAGGGTTGCGTAGCAGCATCAGCTGCTCGGCTCTCCTCATTTTCTCCTGCTCCATCTCTCTGCTGATCGTTTGCTTGGCCTGGTATGTGAGCTGGCGCCGGGGAGGTAGACCTGGAAACTTCACCGCCTCATCCACACGTCTGTACACACGCACGCACGCACACGCACACACACACACACACACACACACAAAAGTTGATGAAAAGGTGAGTGGACACAGGACATGTGTACTTTGTCAGTTGAATGTGATTGAAATGAAAAAAAACCTTTGTTGATGCCCAGATTTAGATTTTTCCCTAATAAACCTTAAATCTGTCTCTTTCTTAATACCATAATCCTCTTACAGCAGATCCCATCCAAAGCCATCCCATTCACACACTAAATGTCCAACATCAAATATGATTTTACGCGTTACTGTTACTAACCAACTTTATAGAAAATAACCAAAAAATACTTTTTTTTTTCAATACATACATACATACATACATACATACATACATACCAATAAGGTTATCATTATTGGAATTGAAGCATAATTTGTCAGTCAGTTCAGGATAGATTCATCAACTCAAACACAAACAGCGCACATAGAAAGGGTCAGAAAAAAAAACCCAATCTTGAAATCAATCCACTTTAAATATCCTGCTTGGCCTCCCAAATCCCCACATAGCTCAATTTCCACCGGCATTTTCGAGGTCAGCAATATCCAATCACAATCAGCCTAATGAACGAGTCAAGTCGCAGGCAGTGGGCATGGTCCACGGTCGTAATAGCAACAATAATAACAACAACAACAGATCAGTATCCAACGGTGCCAGCATCGGTGGTGTTGTGGTGGGCCAGTGAGGGCAGGTAGATGAAGGCGTACACCAGCAGCAGCAGCAGCAGGGCCACCATCAGAGGTAGGCACCAGTCGTTGGTGACCAGCACTTCATCACAGCGTGCCTGCAGTATGGAGGTGCTCTGGGCCCGCCGGCGCTCCCCGGTCTGGCCCGGCATGGCTCAGAGGGAGAAGCTAAGCTAGGCTAGACTAGTTTAGACTAGTAATTTGATGCTAGTATAACGTTTTCCAAAAACACGCGTGAGGAAAGCGCCGATAGTTTACTCTTGGCATAGGTGAAGATCGGGCATCCATCGTTACACCATCTCTAGATGGAAGTTCCTACTTCTCTTCCCCCTTCCTCCCTGTGTGGCTCTTTTTATTCCTCTTTTTCTTCTTCGTCTATGTGGTGATGTGGAGCCACTGCTAGTTCCCGTGCCGACTTGGCTCTCCTCCTCTGCAGGCAGTCCTCCAACGGAGACCCGATGTTCTCATCTCAGCCCTACTCGTCTTCCCGGTCGAGTTTGTAGCTCTGGTTGAAGAGCATAACATCTAACCAGCGATGTGCCGTCTGCCACACACTCCTCTGCCCCCACTATCTCCTCAAACAAACACACCAGGTGTTAAAGGGGATTACTCTGTAAGCCTGCATAGAACCGACAACACGTGAAAATAAAAACAAGCATTGACCTTCACCACCCGGGACACCACACATCTGCTCTTCAAATGAGTACATATAGAAAAACCGTGTGTGCGTTGGGGGTGGGAATCACAGAGTAACTATCATGATATGTGGCCCACGATAATCACGGTATCACGATACAGCGATACATTGCAAGGCAATTCATCTATGATACATCACGATCTCCGTGTAACTGAAGAAATTACACCCCTAAAAAGGCAAAAAGCAGGAATTATGCATTTATTCTCTGCACACAATGTGTCAGTTTCGCAGAACATGACAACTGAGATGAAACAATGTACAACAAAGAGTCTTTGCTTAGTGCCTCTAACACACACACACACACACACACACACACACACACACACACATTCCAGTATCGATACTGTATTCCAGTATCAATATTTTGCCCCTCCCCTAGTGTGTGTGTGTGTGTGTGTGTGTGTGTGTGTGTGTGTGTGTGTGTGTGTGTGTGTGTGTTTTTGTGTGTGTACTCACGGCTCCAGGACGTATATGTACTGTCCCTCGGGGGTGCGGTCCTGCCGGTACGAGAGGTTGTAGGCCAGCATGGTGTTGATCAGCTCCCTCATCTGCTCTTTCTCTCTGGTGCTGAACAGCTGGGGGTTCACCTGGAAGAGAAATCACACCGTGAGCAACGCTAGAAGGGGTCCTGGGAACCCGTTCACTTCAAACCCCCTGAGTGCCATGTCTTCAACACTAGTCGCGTTTCTGTCAAATGGTCAAGCACATTTTGAGCGAATCTTTGAAATGCCACAAAAAAGAAAAAAAAAAAAGATTTCCATCAACTGGTCAACATATTTTCGTCTCCCTGTCGGTCCACACGTAGCCTACATGTTGTTGCTGCCAGTCATTTTTTGGGGGAATATGCCGGAAGACTCCGACAGCGGAAACAGCTGATCAGTCATGCGAGTTAAATGTTCGCATATTAGCACATTAACATTTAGCACATTAACTCTCTTTTCAAAAAGGCAAAAAAAAACACCTCAAGCGAAAAACATTTTGTTACTGCGATACTTCAAAATGCTCATTAAAAAATGTTGATGGTAACAAGGCTGTGGTTCTGAATGGTGAACTTTTACTCTCAACTCAAAACGTTTCTACAGTTAAAGGCGAGAGTAGTACTGGGAGACGGTAAAGTACGGGAGTAGAGGGAGTTAAAGGGACAGTAAAAGGGTTACCTCAAACTATTACTATTTAATAATTTAGCGGCGCAGACACTTTTAAACAAAGTGACCGACAGTGAAATTGTTTTGGGATATACTGTATGTCATTAATGAGCAGGCTGGCGTTAGGCTCCTTGTTCAAGGATGCATACAGGTTCAAACCCAGAACCTTCCAGCGGGGAATCAAACACTTTAACTACGACACTATTCTGCCTCATATACCGTCATCAAAAGATCACGATTTGGGGATTTTTTGTTTGTATTGTTCTCAGCCACATTTGTAAGTGTCTTTGTATAAAACAATCTGCTTAATGTAAATGCAGAAGAAGCAGCCATTGTCATTGTCAGTGTTGTTGGACGTACCGGCCGTAGTTTGGGGCAGATGATATCCAGCAGGAGGGTGAGGATGTCGGCGGTGAGGCTTAGCTCACTGATCCTACTCCTGACACTTGGGGGGATCTCCGCCAACATGGTAGACAGAGCGTTCCTGTTGCCTTGGAGACGTGTGGTG